ACCAAATCAAGATGTATAAGTAATCAAAGAATAACAAGAAAAAAACATAAGAAACTCCCATACTGGAGACGATAACTTCACATTTTGAGCAAGAGAGTGAATTATAGAATTACTAAAGCCTAAACACGATATAGGGCAATGAGAGGACACAACGAAATACAACCAACTTAAAGGTTCATGCGTGGATTAAGATACATTACCTTCATGTCATGTCTAAGTCATTGATCAAATAGTTTCAAGTACAAGTCTTAGATTCCGTTCTCAGAACTAAAGTAGGAAAACTTAATTTATAACTGAGAGAGACATGGATGGAAAGGTTGTCGATAGATTGGAAAATATTTGTTACCATTCCAAGAAACTTTTTGGGTTTTAGATGGTGCAGCTATTGATCTTACATTTAATGGTTTTATAGATCATTCACAAATAATTCCTACTCATATATATAGACAAACAAGAAGACATATACATTCATTTATATGTATTATCCATGCAATATTTAAAACTGCACCAATACGAATCTCTCAATGCTTACCCTAAAGTTGATCTCAATCTTTAAAAGTTAGGAGATTGAAAAGGCAAATGAAGTTGTTTGGCGTGTTCATCATTTGAAGAAAACATGAGTCATGTTAGCGACTGAAGAAATAGAAAGAGAGAACTCACAGTAGGGTAAGGCCACTTGGAATAAGACTGCCACCATGCTTTGAGAACAGAGGTGGTGTTTGTCTCATGGTAATTTTCCACCTCTTCTCTTCCTTAATATCTCCTCTCTTATGTCTACAATTTTCTCCCTAGAAACCTTAAAAAAAACATGATTCTATATCATTAGATCACGCAAACTCTAGTGTTAGACCAACAATTTAAGTATCGGGTAAGTAAGTGTATAAACTGACAAAGTCATCAAAGAAGCTTTCCTTTAGGCTCATAGGAGAGTAAGGTATGAAGGATGTATTGCCATTGGTTTTATGGGTAATAACTTAACAAATAAGACAATGTGTAGCACTAAACTATAGAGATAGTATCAGAAGTTACCTATTTGAGTTCTTGTCGGCCTCCTTCAATTCAGGATCTCTCGTTCTGAGTCAAACCCTAACCCATTTAAGCTACCATAAAAAAAATGAGCATCACTCTGTACGTGCTCATCTCTATCATGTCTCAATCTCCATATAATTATGTGGATGCAGCTATTAAACCAAAATAATTGAATGTCGTCAATATCGAAGATTAGAGAATCCTTGACCTAATAAAATCAGAGCCTAAAAGAGACTACATCGCAGATTTGAATCAGAAATCCAATTACGACAAGAGATATAACTTTGATATAACCCCACGGTTATATGAGAAGATCCTAAATTTATTTAATCTTAAACACATGAGATTGAAACATATAGTAGATACAATATATGAGATGAGATTAGAGATGAGGCTGTGATCTTCTCATCGAGGAGTAGGAGGACTATGCCCGGAAATGCCGCATCGTGGCCGGCGGTTCAGGATTCCCAGATCCGGAGGATGCGGCAGAGGATGTGATGTTTGGGACGACCAGGGAGTAATTCGTCGAGCATCGGTGGGTTGGAATTTGGGGCGTCGTCGTTTGACATCATCGAGGAAGGGCGGTCTAACGGTGCTGAGATAAATTCCGGCGAAATTTTGGGTTTGTGGTCCGATGGTCGAATTGGAAGGGATGTGGTTTATTTGTTGTGTGAGTGGGTTTAAAGTATTTGGGTGAGAAAGGAGTGAAACGGATGAAGCGAACAGAGGAGCCATAGTAAGTGTTGTATTGAATTCTTTGCAATGGTGGTAACCGCCGGTGGTTTCCGATGGCTGAAGAAAAGAAGCTAGAGCGATGGCGTGTATTACGTTGGGTGATGTGCCCTTAGTGAAAATGGGCCCTTAGTGAAAATGGGCTAAGGCCCAAAAGCGAAGAGATATCATCGCATCTACAATAATAAGCAAGCATTATAAGGCCCAAAAGAAGAGCTGATGTGGCTTGTTTTTGTGCAGTTTCGGGGGTGACATGGCGGAGCAGGGAGAGATCCCTTCTACTTTTATATAGTAGATAGTAGATAAAATTTCAGGCGATTTTTTTTTTTCTTTTGAAAAAGCATTTCAGGCGATTTACGAGCAAGTGTTCGGGAAACCGTTCACCGACGAGAGTCCGTACCCTGATCCGACAATGAACGGGTTCGTACAAAACGCGGCGGCGATAACGAAAGGAATGGCGGAGAAAGTAGTGATGCAAGGGTTTCCGCCGGAGAGACTTCCCGTTTTCAAAGATTTAGTTCAAGAATTCGCCGTTTGTGACCGGTGGTTCTCGTCGTTGCCGTCGTCGACCAGCCTAACCGTCTCTACGTTCACGCGGCGACATCAAACGGTGCGTTTAGTAACGATACTGACACATTGGTTCGTGGTTTTCCTCAGAAGACAGTGTTCGAATCACTTGAAGAGAGTGGTTTCACGTTTGGGGTTTATTACCAATCTTTCCCAAATTGCCTCTTTTACAGGTAACTACTTTTCTTTATTTTGAATGATTATAGTTACAAATTACAAGGAAAAATATAAACGTAAAAGTCAAACGTTACTAATTATGATGGTAAGAGAATATTATTATATGAAGAAAAAAAAAATGATAATGACGAACCGACTAATTGAAGTTACACCTGGATTGCAATCTACTATATAAAAAGAGGCCAGCACTCTCCCTCGAGTGACACGTGGCTGACCTCTTTGATGAACACGTCGTCTTTTTTTTTTGCCCAAAAAAACACTCTCTTTCGCGACTCTTGAACAATCGATCCTGCTCTCTTCTTCTCCTTCCTCACTCCGAACACCCTAATCTTCTCCAGAACCAGGACCCATGATTTCCCTTCTTCACTTGCTTCCCGGCAACCACGCGATTTCATCAACGTATTGTACATTCGATTCCTGCTTTCTCTCATTTTATATGTATACCGCTTCAGTTCTGAAGAAAAATTATGGGTTTCATAGGTGAAGAATGATTTCGTCGATGGTATGCAGAGCAGAAATGAGAAGATCATACCGAATATGGGTTCTATGAGGATTAAGAAGGAGAAGATGACAAAGACGGTCATGAGGAAGAAGATAGATTCATAGATGCTTGGATCTGTTACTTGGATATGTCAAGATTTTTTCCAAAAAGATTTCTAAGAGAGCAACGACCACCGCCCGGTCAATTTGGCCTGATTTGATTACTACCAAACTCGTAAGTCTTCACTCTTCGATTTAATTGATCAAATCAAAAATCTTAGAATTAGTGTTGATTTAAGGTCTCTAATCACGATTTCCTTACCAAATTAGCAATTCCCTCATAGTTTGATTCCAATTTGCAATCTGTGTAGAATGGAGTACGTACTCTTGCATTTTTGTGGATCTGCAAGCCTTCCTCGAGGTAATAATATACTCGAAATCCATTGAGCTGTAAAGAATGGTTACCGGTTTCAAGTGTTCTAAAGATGATTGAAAATTTGGAACCTTTGTGTTATTCAATTTTTTTTACTATACTAAGATGCATCTATCCTTTCGAAAGTTAACAAGGACTGGATTATTTGTAGGAACACTGTAATTGATTGTTATATCTTTGTTATCCAACTCAATTGACTAATGCATAGTTTTGTATCTACAAGAAATTATGAATAAAGACGGTAGTATCAAGCTTAAATACTGAACTTAAGTTAAGCACCATCTCTCTTTGTTTTATTCTGCTCACACATAGGGAAATGGATCTCAAATCATTATTTGATGCTCTTTTGTTTTCTCCAATCTATTACTTTGTTTACCTTTATCAGTAGAAAGGCATGTGGGTTGATTCCAGGATATAAAACGAATAACACAATCAGTCTCCGCCTTAAAGAAGCAAAATATAGAGGAGCGGATCTTGCTCTTTCCATATCAACTTAAGAGGATATGAATTGGCTGTACAG